GGGGGATTATCTGGAGCTAAGTGGCTGCACTTCCTTTCAACTGGGCATTCTGAAGAACTAGTCCCCACATTACTGTCTGCAAAGGCCACTGCAACTGTCTGTGTTCTACCTGGACCTAGAGAGCTTTTGATGTAATGGCACTGAGCATAGGGGAGGAGAAGAAACCCTCAGGGAATGATTTCCCAATGGTCCTTTATTGACTCTCTTTAGTTGAAATTTAGTCCCTTGGATGGCCAACTAAAATTCTACAAAGATCATTCAACACAACACAATGAATAGATCTAAGGAGAAGGCTAGCTACAATGATCCTTTACTACAAAAACAGGTTGTAGAGCTTCAAAGGAGCATTCCAGACCACTTACCATACATCTTGCCTTCATCTGATAAGATGATTTTCCTCCTCCCACATGGTGGATAGATAGCCAAGGCTTCCTGAAAGCTCTGCTCAATGTCCGGACTCCAGACCCCTTCCGCATCGTTGTCAATTGGCTTATCTGCAGAGTCACTCATCCTTTCCATGTTTTCGGCAGGGCTCTCGCTGCCGCTCCAGCTGCTGGGCTCAATTTTGGCGGTTGGATTTTCCAAGCCGAAGCCTGGAGCCTTTTCAAGAAAATAAACCTAAGAGAGAATGAAAAAATATTGTGATCAAGATGAGGTAACCACCAATATACTGCTCTTCCTAGTTTCACTGCGCATTCTTTAGTTGGCAGCTTCGCTTGGAGAAGAACTTCGAGGAGAAAATATGGGATTTTGAGATCCAAGTGGCTTTTTTTCTTTATGTATTCATGTTAGGCACTCAGTATAGAAACCTAATGGCAGAGAGCAGCTGTATAATCTTCGCAGATGAGAGGAAGTTTTCATCTGAGAATAGTACTTACTCTAAGTTGCAAGTTCACAGTGAACCATGCAAAACCATTCACTAAGTGTCTACTATCTACCAAGAGCGCTCTGCTCAATGATAACCAAAACTCCATAGCAGAACAACTTTGTTTAAAAGAAAAAAAGTAAAACAAAAGATGTTTTCCTCACTGTGGCAATTAACAGGGTAACTCTGAAATGTTAAACCATCTCAAAATTTATCACTGAGATCACCACCAAGATGCAAGATGATGGCAGGATGGAAGAAAAAAGAATATTATTTTGTTACCACAAACACTCACTCTACTAAGACAGCAATGACAGCTGACCTGAACCTGCTAGTCCATAGCACTTCTCTGTGGGACTCTGATCCTGTACCATCAGGCCACTCTGCCACTCTCAGCTTCTAGATTGTAACCTTGAAGCAGGGACCAAATTGTCCCCATTCCTGCCTTCCCTGCAACAGCTACAAGTGGCCAGCACACTTGCAGAAAGAAATGTTTTACACCTAAATGGGCACTTCATCTGGTAGCCTACTTGGAGTTCCTGATCAGAAGAAAATCATGAGGGAAACTTTCATTTATTTCTCTGTAGCGCTGAAGATTACAAAACCAAAAGAAATCTTTCTCAAAGATGTATTCTCCTTAAATTATTCATGAAACCTGTGGTCTTAAAGGAATAAGCTTTCCAAACCAATGTCAAACTGGCACAAACACCAATGAGAAAATGATCTAATCCAGTACCCCCTGCTGTCCACACACTAACATTATCAATATTCCATTGTTGAAAAGGCATCAGATCATTAATTCAAAGACTTCCCCAAAAAGGGGAGAATTGTTCCTGGGGACTGACAGAAGAAGGGAGACAGCAGGGCCTTAGAAGAGAGAGCTTAGTGGGACCACCATTCCCTGCCTTCTGCCCCATCAAGTCCATGCAACATTACAACAGAGACAGTTAGGAGGGGAGCAGGTGCTGGCAGCCCCATCAGGCACCAGGGACTGCTCCGTGCTCCAGGGCAGTCACCTGAGAGCAAGCAGCCTGTCTTTTTTCCCTCTCCCCCACCGATGTATATCAACAGATCCCAGGTGCAGAAACTCTGAGGCACATGAACATTACACAATTAATGGTATAACTAGTGGGTGATTTTGGCTCAGTACTCTGACAGCTTTTTAGATTTGGCAGCACCTGGATAAAAGAAACCCCAGGTTGTCTGCCTTTAAATGCTGCCACAGATCCATCATTTAAAGAACTTGTCAGCAAAATATTTACTACATCTTACCAACACATGTACATTGACACAGGACTTTAAAAAACTGCCAAATGTTGAGGTATAAATTATGCCACAAAAAAGGGTTTTGTGATTAACCCCCAGATGAACTCTGCAATGCCTGCAGTGTGGGCCTTTTGAATTCTCAAATTATTACATTTTTTGTTGGAATCTAAGAGTCTTATAAAATTCAAGCTGAGCTGTGTGCTCCCCTAGAGTCTGTTCTAGCTCCAAAGTGGTTTATTGGAGAAATTATGGGAATATGAGTGAATGCTTTGAGCAGTGGCTAGTCCACTGTCTCCCTCTCTACCTTACCCCTAAAAAACAAAATAATAGAGATACAAAAACACAGGCCAGTCCTTGAACTTTGGACAGCTCAGAGCAGTATGAATTTACTCCAGGGAGCCAGATTTTAAGATAAACTGTGGATGTGCCCAGCATGCAACCACTATGGTAGAGGGACAGAATCCAGAACAGTGAGGGCCAGCTGAAGGGCTGGGGGAGCTTTACTTGCCTAAAAAAAAAATCACAATATAACTGAGAGCCTCAGAGTTTTCAGACAAAAACACACCAACACTGCCCTAATCCAATGCTTGAAGTCACCTCTAACACTTCTCAACTTCTCATACAGTCTACACCTGAACATCACCAATGACAAGGACCCCACTCCCTCCCCAAAACCACCTCCTCCACATTGACATGTTGAAATTCTTCCATTAGGCTAAAACTCATGTCCAGGTTAACTTCTATATTAACCCATCCCTTGCAGAAGCAAATTTCCCAAGAAAACATCCATTTATATATGACAAGAGCAGCCCGATTGTGCCCCAGACTAAACATAATTCACATCATACCTGGCCCAGCCCTCATGAACACATACCAGTTTGTCCATAGCACCCAATAAATGACAGAGATTGACCGGGATCCACAAAACCTCTTAGGCTCCCACACTCCAAGTTCTATTCCTGAATTCCCTTCTCTAGTGCAATTGGTTTAGGAGCTAAAAGCAGGGGGTTATATGTATTTCTATTAAATTCCACTATTTTAGCCTAAACCCATGGGCTCAAAGCTGGTAAGATCTTTTTGAATCATAATTGCCAAGCTTAGTGTTCTTAGACATGACCGTCCTCGGAAGAACTATCTGTGACACGAACAGGGTGCTGACACACTCTGTGGACCTTCTAAGATGATTCTGGCTCAACATGAGAAAAAGTTCTTGCTAGTTGAACTGTTCAACAAGGGGTGGGCTGCCTTAAAGACAGACAGCAGAGTCTTGCAGACAACCCCTTGAAGTTACCTCCAAAGCTAGGAGTCATATGCCCTTGGTTGTTTGGGGAATGCAGTATTAGCATTAACTGACCCATCTACTTAGTAAGCACAGGCACTGTTCTAAATGCTCACATGTTTTTATTCATTTACTGCAAAGGGAAGAACTCTGTGTCCAGGCTCTTGCAATTTGGTCAACTGGAGCTCAGCAGGATGGAATTACCTCTCTGAACAAGGGCCAGGACACAACCCCAGAAGCCACTAGATACATAATCCACAGAGTTATACAGGCTCTTGGTTTTACAACCCAATTGTAAGATGAGGCCCTGTATGGGCAGAGAGTTTCCAATCACAAGACTGGGGCTGGTTGAGAAAAGCTCCCTATACTGGATACTGAAATAACCATTCTGGCATTCTATCCCTCGGGTCCCTTCCAGCTAAGCTCAAAATCCACCTCATCCTGGAAACCATCCTTGTATCTAGTGGCTCAGAGTATCGGCCACACATGAGGAGTGTCCTGAAAATGTGTGGCATTGGTTAACTACCACCCAATCCACCTGGTTTCCAAATACCTAGCAAGAAGCACCTGCTTATTACCAACAGTAAGATCTAATCAAGTGAATTATGCATCAAATATCTGTGCCTGTAAAGCTGATGTCTTCACCTCACCCCTCCTTTGAGCAAGGGGAGTTAACTTTCACACAATTCAGTAAATAAAGAACAATATAGAATCGGGGGGGGGGGCATGATATGGAAGCTCAGACTGATCTGGATTCCAAACCTGGCTCACCCACTAGCCATGCAGTCCAGACAGAAGCTCAGGTTTTATTTGTAAAATGGAGATAGTAAGTTAAATTCAATCCCAGCATAGAAAAATCATTAAGGGGTGGAGGGACTCTATCTGAAGGGGTTGCCGTAAAGATTTAGAGATAATGGGTGAAGGTGCTCTGACATCTGTAAAACCATGACCGGATGTTCATTTGTTCTCAAGTCCATTATCTCTAGACAGTAGTATGTACCTTGTGGTGCCCAAATACCTACTGATAATGGGATGGTGAAGGAAGGAAGGCACTTTCCTAATAGTTCCCTTTGGGAAATAAGTTTAGAAAGGACCCTCTTCCTTAAGGTCTTCAGATGACTAAATAAAAAATTTAAATTTGTAAAAACCCCTTTACTTCTAATACTTATATAAATCTAAACTTATATTCACAGGTTCAATAATTTTCATACTCTTCTGGGAAGTTTGGTTCAAGCGAACAATCCCAAGCCTAAATGAATGCCTAAAAGGCAAGACAGAAGGGAACTCCTGCTGCTGAAAATCCACTGTATATCATGAAGCCCCCGTGTGCCTCAGTTTCCATCATTAACACTTTTTTAGAAGTTCCTTTTTTTCTGAAACTCTTCCTAGCCACACAATAAATTCCAAAAAGATCTGTTAACAGGGACCCATATATTCCTGCTAACTGCTCCAATAGCCACACTTCCTAAATGGATCATTCTTTTACAGTTACCCATTGATACTCCAGAAAGAGCAACATGAGTACAGTGGAATGACATCATATGTGTATTTGACCAATCCACTTTTAACATAAGAGCCCAAGGAAAGAAGGGGGTCAGAGAGTCAAATACAGGTGCTTCTGACACCAACTCTATTCACGGAATGGATGCACAAGGGCTATGACATAGGACACAGGAATCTGCTGCTCCCTTCATCTTAATTCCTTTGGGTCCCTCATAATACAAGCATCTCACCCACTTACGGGTGATTTAAGAGCTCTTAAATAAGAGGCTTAGTTTTAACTAACCCTCGTGATTTATGGAATGCCACTGAACATGAAGGTCACACAAAAATCCGTATGCCTTGTTTTAGCCAATGTCTTAACACTCTATGAGGCAAAAGGAAAGGAGCTGGTCTAGGAGTTAGGACTCTGTCTCTACCTGAGTAACCCAGGACTACATGATCCTTGCAGCTCCTGTGTGCCTCAGTTTCCATCATTAACACTGAAGGAACTTAATCATTCATCACCTGTGGTTCCACAGACTCAACCTAGAATAGAACTTAGTATGTTGGTTTATTACTGCCCCCTAACCACACTCCAGTGTCCCTGAGGGCAGGGACTGTTACACTCACCACAGTATCCTCAGTGCTAGCACTGCACCTGGCATAATGAATATTCAAAGAAAGAAAGAAGAAATAAACCAACAACCAGATGACATGGACATTCTTTGACAACATGACTAAACTTACCA